TGCAGATGTCCAAGGTCATTCTTGTTCTCTGAGATGCATGCAGAGCCTTAATACAAGAGGGAGCAGATGCAAAAATCTGGAACTTACTCTTTGTTCATGCCTTCGAGTAGAACAGCTGAAATCCTTTTTAACCTGTTTGCAAGCTCAGGCAGGCCTCCTGTAATAGCACCCACCATGTTGTTGGTAATTAAGGACAGGCAGGCAATAATTTTCAATTGATTCAGCTTTTCTGTCAGTTCCTGAAGACGTGCTCCATCTGTCATAAGTGTCTAACATATTTATTTAAAATATAAAAATAGAAAGGGTAGCTCAATAGCATGAAAATACAAAATAGGCAATGTCATTTCCAAATTCCCATTTTTATCTGATTTTTGCAAAATCATTAAACCACACGAAACACAGACCAGATGATTCAAAGTTAGAACTTAAGAATTAAAATACTGGGAAATTTGGGGGAAGAACAAAATCACTCACCTCTGGTAATTCTTTTTTCTGATAATCCCACTGTAACAGTTTCAAGTAACTATTATTTAGCACCAAAGTAGGGCTCAGGCTTGGCTTGGAGGTATTTTCGGCCCCAGGAGTTAAAGCACTCTCAGAAAGAGAAAATAATTCTTCATTTACAGATTCTTTTATCCATTCTGTAGTCTGATCAAGAGCACCTAAGAGTGAAAAGGTCACATATTTGTTCTACAGCTGATTGATCCCTTCACTGGTGTATTCCACTTGACAGATGCTGTGTTGGGTGCTGGGCATAAATGAAAAGACACAGCCATGCCCTTCAAGGAGTTTATAACCCAGATGGAAAGACAGATCTGTAAACTAACAACTATAACACAGTACAATGAATGCTGGTAATTGTGGGAGAAGAGGCTGTCCAGGAAATAATCTAAGAGGAAGAGCTCTGTAAGTGCTCTGGAAAAGACAGCATATGGCACATTCTAGATGCCACATTCTGGATGCCACAAACAAATCTGTATTGCTGGTCCATAAAGAACTAGGGGTAAGAGGGTTGTAGCAGATGGCATTGGATGGGTGGTTAGAAGCCAGCCTTGATTTTGTGCAGAGAAGGTATTTAGAGTAAAGTCATTAATTTTCACACATTTTTGGTAAAAGGTGAAAGATTTATACAATCTGAAGAGAAAACAGAGTATAATTATTGCACATTTTTGGGTCTTAGACCGCCTTTAATATCTAATTAGAGATACGCCTTTCCCAAGGTGAATGTGCACACTCACATGCACATGTCCACAAACAATTGTCATTCTCTCTTACCAGATTCATAGTCCCCAGGTTACAAACACCGCGACGGGAATGGGGAGTTTTGGATAATATTATTTTCTTTCTTTTTTTTTTTTTTTCCAGACGGGGTCTTGCTCTGTCACTCAGGCTGGAGTGCAGTGGCGTGATCTCAGCTCACTGCAACCTCCACCTCCCAGGTTCAAGCGATTCTCCTGCCTCAGCCTCCTGAGTAGCTGGAACTATAGGTGTGCGCCACCACATCCAGATAATTTTTGTATTTTTAGTAGAGATGGGGTTTCACCATGCTGGCCAGGATGGTCTTGATCTCCTGACCTCATGATCCACCCACCTCGGCCTCCCAAAGTGTTGGGATTACAGGCATGAGCCACTGCACCCGGATGAATATTATTATTTTCAACATGGAACCCATATGATCAGATCTATATGTCAGAAAAATTGCTTGGAAAGAAAGACTGAATTAGTGGAGGGAGAGTAAATTGTTGCAGTGGTTCAGACAAGAGAGTGAATGGATAAGGCAGTGGAAGTGAGGGGTAAGGAGGAGAAAAGTGACAAATATTTAGGGGGAGCACCCACAGGTCTTGGTGATCACTTACATGTAGAGAGTAGGAAAGGAGTATTATAGGATGACTCCCAGATTTGTACCTTGGACACCTGAATGAATGCTTGTGCCATCTACCAAGATACAGAATATAGGCCAAAGAGGTTCTGAAATAAATCTTTCCCATAACCTTTCTAAGGCCACCACCAATCTCCTGGTTGTCAAATCCAACAAACATGTCCTTCCTATTTTTTTTAAACACCTCTGTAATACAGACATCTCTTAGTACAGCCCTCCAGAAACTCTTTCCCTGGCTTTTCTGATACCACTCTTCCTCGGTTTCCCCTAGCTGTGCTTCTGCATTTCATACCTGGGTTGAGAAGACAGGATGAGAAGATAGGTACATCTCCCTTCAATTACAGGAAAATGTTCCTCTGCCTGTTCCTTAAATGTTGATGCTTCCAAGCACTCTACCCAATCCCCATTTATTTGGTACTCTTCAATCTCACTAGACCATCTTACTCGTTTCTGTGGTTTCTATTTCCACCCATACCCCATAAGGCTCCCGAATCTGTATCTCCAGCCCTCACTTCTCTCCTGAGCTTTTGATTTCCTCATTTGTAGAATGAGCAAGTGGGAGGAGAGTCACTAAATATGAAGTTGGGCAGAGATGCCCAGTATAGTACACTGCTACATAGTGTTTCCATCATCCAGATATAACAGGTACTTTATACCTGTTATATGTACCATCTTGAGATTCTTTAATGTCAAGACTATAGACAATAGTAAGATAATTTGGAGGTGAAGAGTTTTTAGTATTTGTTTTCCTTTACTTTTTATAATTATTATTATTTTGTTTTTTCATACATATAAATATGTTTATATTTACAGACATAATAAATTCATACAAGAAAATGTTCAGCTCTTAAGTGTTCAGTTTGGTGAGTTTTGACTATTCTATGTACCTGTGCAACTACCACCTAAAACAAGATATAGACGATATCCATTACCCCAGAAAGTTCTCTCATCTCCCTTTCCAGTCAATGTGCACCTCACTCAACTACTTTTAACTCCTAACTGTATGAATTAGTTTGCCTTCTAGAAATTCATATAAATGGAATCATAAAGTACCTAGCATAGTGTTTCTGACATTTATCCACATTGTCTTATATATCACAGTTCATTCCTTTTTAGGGCTTTAAAAATAACTTTTAAATTTTGAAATAGCTTAAACTATTTCAAAATAAAAGACTTAAAAAGTTGTGAAAATAGTACAGATAGTTCCTGTATACCCTTCACCCAGCTGCCCCCAAGGACAGCATCTTAAATAACTACAGTATATTGTCAAAATCAGGAAACTGACATGGGTACGATACCATTAACTTATACTGATTTTACCAGTTTTTACATGCATTCTTTATGTGTGTAGTTCTAAGAAATTTTATTACATATGTGGATTCCTGTAACCATCAGGATACTCAACTATTTCATCACTGTAAAATATCTCCTCATGTTACCTACCTCCCAGTAGTCACACTCTCACCTCAACCCTAACTTCTGGTAACCAATGATCACCATAACTATGTCACTTCAAGAATGTTACGTAAATAGAATCATACAATATGTAGCTGTTATGGACTGTTTGTGTCCACCTGCCACCCAAATTCCTATCATGAAGCCCTAACTTCCACTGTGATGACATTTGGAGATGGAGAATTTGGGAGGTAATTAGGGTTAGATGAGGTCATGAGGGTTGATACCCTTAAAAGAGGAGACAAAAGAGGAGACTCTCTTTCCATCTGCACATGTTGAGAAATAGGCATGTCTATAGTGCCAGGAGGAAAGCCCTCATCAGGAACCAAATCAGCTGGCACTTTCATTTTGGACTTTCAGCCTTGAGAACCATGAAAAATAAACTAATATTGTTGAAGCTACCCAGTCTGTGGTACTTTGTTATGGCAGCCTGAGCAGACCAGTAAAATGACCCTTTGAGATTGGCTTTGTTTTCTAAGCATGCATCCAAGTTGTATGTATCTATAGTTCATTCCTCTTTATTACTGAGTAGTATTCTATTGTATGGATATACCACAGTCTGTTTATCCATTTACCAGTGGAAAGTCATTTTGGTTGTTTCAGTTTGGGGTTTTACAAATAAGGCTGATATGAATATTTATGTACAGGTTTCTATGTGAATGTAAGTTTACAATTCTTGGGGATAAAGACTCAGTATTGCAATTACTAGGTTGTAAGTGTGTTTAATAAGAAATTGCCTAATGATTTCCCAGAGTTTTACCTTTGTTTTTAATATATTTAATTGTAAATTTATATAATTTAATTTTTAGTAATGGGTATGTTTACTAGCTCACAAAATTCCTTCAAATATAGCAAATGGCTCCGAAGTCTGTACCAACCACTTCCAGCCTACCACTGACAGTGTCCATTTCTAAAATTAATTATCTGTCAAACACAGCCCAGTATAATTGGGCAGACAAGTCTTTTACATTTATTCCTTGAAACAGATTTGACAAGAACACAAACAAAAGTTGCAGTGCAAAGAGACTCATCGGCAACAGTCTGTTCCGCAACAGGATTTAGAAAGCAAGACAGAGAATGAAGCAGCAGCTTGACTGGAGAGTCAAGTTTGCATTGCAGATGAATGAATCTCAGCTTAGGGCAACCTATGCATTGCAGATGAATGAATCTCAACTTAGTGCAACCTAATATCAAAGCAATCGACATGTGACTAAGAACTTGTGCTAGGCTCCCCCATGCAGAGTAAGTGGTTGGTGCAGTAGTTGGGAGCGTGGGACTGAGCCAGGCAGTCTCAACTTCTGTGTATGCCTTGGGCAGGTTACCTAATGTCTCCTCAGTTTCCTCTGTGAACTGGGGATAATAGTATTCCTCCTGAAGCTGTGGTAAAGATTCAACAAACTAGTACATACAAAACACTTGGAACCATTTCTGGCACAAAGGAAATGCCCCTAAGTGTTAGCAATTGTTACATTAGCTCATTTAACTCTGTAAACAACCTTTAAGGAGGGGGATTATTGTCTCTAGAGGGCTCATCAGGTTCTCTGCCTGATACACGACAGCTGCCTTATTAATGAAGTTGCCTCAGACACAGTGATCACCCGTGGAATAAGAAGAGTGAGTAGGCTAAGCAGTGGGTTGGTTAAAATGAGCTTTTTTGGGAACTTGACTTTTTCTGTGTATGTAAATACCAGTTAGTGTGCTAGCATGAGGGAGCAGAATCTAGGCAGGTCCCCTTAAAGAAAAGCCAGTGCTTTAAAGGAGATGTTATCTAGAAAACATGCAGACACTGAAAATCTAGTTTATGCAGTATGATCCCTGGTATTTGGCAAGGGTTATTCCAGAAGGCAAGATGGGAGACGGAGAAGGAAGCAGGGAGGAAGGAAGAAATCACTGAACTTTAGTGTCATACTTAATTTGACCTTAAAGACTATGACCTTAAAGACAATGTCCAGTTCAATTGTCCTTCCACTTTAGACAAGTTTATCAAGTTCAGTTCTTCTGGATAAAAAATATGTATCACTGGAAATGAGGTTTTTTACTTGAATTCATTTCATTTTTAAGCATATGGCACTTAAATATTACTATAATATAGGTTATCAGGTGCCTAATAGTTATTATTAGCAGAGTTCCCTTGATATTAACAGTTTCTATGACAAACAACTCACATAGAGTTGCTCCAAAAGGTGCCTCTGCAAGGGCTTGCTTCTGCAAGTGGCAATGGCTCCCTCTAGACAATGGAAAGAAGGCAAGAAGAAGAAAGCACCCACCACCAGCCATGACTAGCTGAAATGAGACTGATTCCAAATACAAAACAACCCCCAAGTGCTCAACAGCCACTGGACTTCCTTGTTTATTGAAGCCCAAATTTTCCTGGAGCATGAGATGGTTCCTTGGGTCATCATGAAATGGATTCATTCTGATTCTTTATTTAGGGTGTCTCAACCTCAGCACTAGTGACATTTTGAACTGGATAATTCTCCACTGTTGGGTGCTGTCCTGTTCACTATACAATGTTTAGCAGCATCCCTAAGCTCTACCTACTAGATGCCCTTCCTCAGCCTCCCACCCTGCCCTGTCAGGATGGGACAGCCAAGTGTCTCCAGACATGACTAAATATTGTGGGGCGGGGGCAGTGGCAAAATCACCCCTAAGAGAACCATGTTGAGAACCATGGACTTAGATGACAAATAGTATTTATTTACTTTTGCTCATAAGTAGTTCTTCTAACTTTGAATAAAATGTCTCTTACATCATGAACTAAATGAAATTTGACATGCCAAGGCTATTCCAGGAGGCTGAAAGTTTGGAGGCAGTAATTCTCTACTGGGCCTGTCTGCCTTAGGGCAAAATTCACTTTATTTTGCTTTAGACCCAGTTCTAAGGTTTCCCACTAGAAACAAATTGCTTTTTATACCACAGTTCTTTTAAAATTATATATTTGGTAGAATTTATAAGGTGACAATTGCCAAGAAATACAGCCTGAATACAGGTGCAGATTAGAGAGGGAGAGTGAGAGTGAGAGAGAGCGAGAGCGAAAGAAATAGACTGAAATTCTTCCTGGGACCCAGCACTTGAGTAGGGATAATTTATGAGTAGTTCTGTTTGCCACACTAAAGCAACACCACCCCCAGAATTTCGCAACTCTTGTTTCTCCTCAGTTGGCAAATGTTGTTTTTGGTTTGCTGGTTCTGTTTTATAAAGATGGAAAAGACTTGCAGTCTTTCATTTAAGACATCCAACTGAGAAAGCACGAGTGGAAATCATCATCGTGAATATAATTACAATGTGGCAGTAATAAGCACTTATACTGCAAGTTTAATCATTTACAGCTGACACATTTAAGAGCCCATTTAGTTACCTTGAACAAAAGCAACAGTGTGGCATAGTGGTTCTCAATCCTGGCTGACTTTAGAATCACCTGGGGAGCTTTAAAACGAAAAAACTGTTCATGGGCACAGCTCTTGGAGACTTTGATTTATTCTGTCTGAGGCAGGGCTCAGGCCTCTGTGTTTAAATGCCCCAGATGATTCTAATTTGTAGTCCGACTTGAGAACGACTGGTAAAGCAGAAGGAGCATGCGTTTAGAGAGAAACGCTGGCTCTTCTCTCAGGGATCTGCAGAGACTTCACTCTCACAGGCTGGCACGGTGACTGTTCTCTGTGGCTCCGAAGCAAGGTCAGCCTCATGAGGCACCTGCAACCTCGGCTTTTCCTAGGGACAGGATTAAGAGTTTTTCCACTCATTCGTTTATTCGACGAAAACTACTGGGTACCTACTTAGTCCCAGGTATTGTACCAAGTACTGGGGATTTAAAGGTAAATAAGCACAGTCCCTGCACTCAAGAAGTTCCTAGTCTGGTAAGGGGGAGAGACAGACACCAGAATAAGCAATGGTATTACAGGTGCTTCTACCCCAATTTTCAGTTGGAAAAATGTAGTTTCCTTATCCACGACATCTCTTTTTTGCCTGGCAACATCTCACTTTCCCTTCTTTTGGTGCTGGTTTTCTCTGAGAAACCATTTCCTCTGGTTCTATGTATTTTTTTGTGAGTCTCAATTCAGAGGCCCTATCTTCCCGACCAGGGGCTGGCCGAGCAGAGTCACGTGCCCAGCAGAGCCGACTCCTTCCCGGGATCTGAGTCATGACAATGTTCAAGGATGGCCCATGTTTATAGTCCACATCAACCATCGTGACAATGGGGACTTGCTATCCCTTGGTTATTCTTATCCAGATTTGTGACATTCTTCTGATTTCTGACATTTTGGCTTTTCCTTTGATTCTGTGAACTTCCTCCATCCTTCTATTCACTTCCCTTTGGCTAAGTCAGCTACAGTTGGTTTCTGTTGCTTGCAATACAACTTGTATTGCAATATAACACAAAACTGAAAAATTCAAAGAAGGCTGAAAAAGTAGCAGCTTGGTTTAATCTGGACTTGGATTTGGGAGATCTGGTTTCCAGTCTTAGCTCCACTGTTTTTTCTGATTTTTTTTTTTTTTTTTTTTTTGAGACAGACACTCGCTCTGTTGCCCAGGCTGGAGTGCAGTAGCGCAATCTCGGCTCACTCTAGCCTCTGCCTCCCGGGTTCAAGTGATTCTCCTGCCTCAGTCTCTCAGTAGCTGGGATCACAGGCACACGCCACCACACCTGGCTAATTTTTGTATTTTTAGTAGAGACGGGGTTTCACCATGTTGGCCAGGATAGTCTCGATCTCCTGAACTCATGATCTGCCCGCCTTGGCCTCTCAAAGTGCTGGGATTACAGGTGTGAGCCACTGCGCCCAGCCTCCACTGTTTACTTAGCTGAATGACTGAGTCTAAGGAGGTCGTCACTGAGCATGTTTGCTCTTCTTTAAAATGTTCCATAAATATTTCTTGAATGCCTCATGTGACAGATGAAGGGAATCACAATAGAGTTTCATATATTCTGAGATATTTATGTCCCGCAGAATTTTTTTAAAGGATAATATGAAATAAAGTTCATGAAAACATTTGATCAGATATAAGATATTGTCTAAAAAAAGCCTTTCTTTCTGGGTATCTTCAAAATTACTTATGGGCCCCACCCAGGGATCATCTCTTGCTCTTTTCACAGATAATTTACATGTTGGATCTAATGTTATCTTGTTGCTACTTACTTAGTACAAATAATCATTCCTAAGGTTTTCCTGCCTATATTTAAAATAGGCAATTACATAAAATCTCCTCTTAGGCAAAAGAAAATATTTTCCTGGAGCCAATTCAGAAATCTAGAGTACTTCTCTGTATTAATTTTCTAATAATTCTTATATAATCATGTGTACACAAAAATCCAACACTTTTGTCCTTCTGTATGATACTATGAGGCTCTTATTTTGATATTAGGGCACAGGGGCCGACTTTTGGCAGAGTGACTTGGGGACATAATTAACAGCTGACATACACTCTGCTTCTGGGACTCTTGATTTCTCTTGCTAAGCAATAATGACCTATATGCAAAGCTGGGTTTGCTCTATTCTTAAATCTCTGAATATATCCGAGTCAATAGAAAAGTTGCAAATGGATTACAGGTCACTAAGCCTGGGTTTTAAAAAGAGAAGCAAGCCAGGTGCAGTGGCTCATGCCTGTAATCCCAGCAACTTGAGAGGCAGGAAGAAGCCAGTAGTTAAGAGACCAGCTTGAGCAACACAGTGAGACCCCTGTCTCTACAAAAAATGTTTTAAAAATTAGCCAGGTGTGGTGGCACATGCCTATAGTCCTAGCTACTTGGGAAGCTGAGACAGGAGAATCCCTTGAATCCAAGAATTAGAGGCTAGAGTAAGTTATGATCATGCCACTGTACCCCAGCCTGGGCAATAGAGTGAGACTCTGTCTCTTAAAGACAAACAAAAAAACAAACGAACAAAAAACAGAAAAAAAAAGAGGCAAATAATTTGAGATGAACAAAATCATAATTCACCCTATTAGGGAATTTGCTCAAGATTCCAAGCTATCTTGGTTAAAGATATGCGTGCATTTGCACATGTGTTTACATACACAAGTACACAAATGAAACCAACCACTAAGTCTCAGGAAAATGCTGCTGTGGACAGTTGCCACAGTTCAGGTTTCAGATCCAGGTTCGACATAGCATTCTACTTCACTTTACTCCCTCCCCTTTGAAGCTAAAACAACATAGCCCTTGGAGTCATAGAGTTTTGGTTGTAGAACAAAACTTAGAAGTTATCTGACTAGATAACTGGCTATCCAGATGACTAAATCATCTGCCAGATGATGTGAGAGATCCCTCTGCAATATCCCCCACAGCTGATAACTTGTTTGAAGAGACAGGGTTTCACAGTATCTAAATGCACACGCTTTGAGTCAGAGACACATCTGGGTTACCCAGGCTCTACCCCTTACTAGTAGTCATCTAGGCTAAGTACCTTAACCTCACTTCCCTCAGTTATAATTAAGGGGTGATAACAGTACCAACCTCATAGGGCTAGTGTGATGCTTCAATAGACTACTTAAGTGGTACAGTAAGGACTTAGCATGTAGTAAGTGCTCATACAAAATGTTAGCTAGCACTGACTACTGCTGTAATAGGCCCATGGAAAGTTAAAACAGCTCCAACTATCAGAAAGGTCAAAACCAGCTGTCTGCTTCCTCCCTCTCATGAATCCTAGTCTGCCCTACAGAATTTCACCAGTCTCTGAGTCACTGTCAACAGAGAGGGTGGGTGGGGCCATGGCCCACCTGAGTCTCCTTGTTACCAAGCAGAACATGTCCAGCTTCCTTGACGGTTCCTCATGTGGCCTCCGTGATCAATGTGTTCTCCTCTGGACGTGCTCCTGCCTGCCAGGGCCCCTTTAAATGTGGCACCTGTTTTGTCTTTTTTATATAAGGCCATTGTGTTGATTATTTGGGCAGAAACCACCTAACTTAGCCTTAAATAGTGGTTAATTAAACCCCAGAGGCTTGTGTCAAAAGTTTGCCAAGAGCAGTTAGCCAGCTTCTTGCCAGCTGTGCAACCTCTAGCATCTCAGTTTCCTTGCCTGTAAGATAAAAGGAATAACAGTACCTACTTCACTGGGTAACTGGTAATTGTGAAGATTCCATGAGCTAAGATTTCTTCTACTCCTATTCTTCCCTGATCCCCCTCTAGTCTGGTTTTTGTTTGTTTGTTTGTTTGTTTTTGAGACAGAGTCTCACTCAGCTGCCTAGACTGGAGTGCAGTGACGCGATCTTGGCTCACTGCAACCACCATCTCCCAGGTTCAAGCGATTCTCCCGTCTCAGCCTCCCGAGTAGCTGGGATTACAGGCACCCGCCATCATGCCCGGCTAATTTTTATATTTTAGTAGAGAAGGGGTTTCACCACGTTGGCCAGGCTGGTCTTGAACTCCGGACCTCAGGTGATCCGCCCGCCTCGGCTCCCAAAGTGCTAGGATTACAGGCACGAGCCACCGTGCCCTGCCCCGTCTGGTTTTAATGCACATAAATCCACTGAAACCACTCTCATCAAGGTTACCGACCATCATCATAAAGTCAAATCCAATGGTCAAGTTGGCCTGTGTCTTTCTTGACCACTTAGCAATGCTTGTCATATGCAATCATGCCTTCCTTCTCCAAATACCTTCTTCACGTATCTCTTACAGGACACCCCCCTCTTCTGACTGTCACACTACCTCTCTGGCTACTCCCTCATAGTCTCCATTGCTAGATCCTCCTCCTCATCTCAACTTCAGCTTCTAGCTGCTTGACTGCCCCATGTCAGTTTCTTTCAGAGTCCATACTCACTCCCCCTAGGTAGTCTCACCCAGTGTAATATAATGGATAGGAACATGGACTGTGGAGGCAAGCTGCCTTCCTAGGTGGACCCCTATACTTTTAAGTTGTGTTATATAGGCCAGTGATTTAACCTCAAGGTGCCTCAGTTTCCGCACCCATAGAATGGGGGGTAACTTCATATAGTTGTTGCAAGGATTAAATTAGTTCATACAGGTAAAGTACTTAGAATGTGATAAGGATTTTCTAAGTGTTAACTAGTACCCAGTTCCATGGCTTTCTATATCACATATATACATATACTGATTATTCCCAAATGTATATACACAGTTTCCATTATTCCTCTGAACTCCTCATTCATATCTAAATGCCTACCTGACATCTCCACATTGATGTCAAATGAAATCTCAAAAGTTCATATCACCAAAACTGAACTCTTGATTCCATGTCATCTCCCAATCTTCTTTCCCCTAGTCTCCCCGGTTTCACTCAAACTGTATCACCATTCACCCAGTTGTACGGGCCAAAAACCTTAGAGTCATCCTTAACTCTTTTCTCCCTTATCCAGCCTTCAGCAAATCTGATTACTCCACCTTCAAAATGTATCCAGAATCTGGTCTCTCCTCACTCCTTCCACCACTACCATCTGGAACAAGCCACCATCATTTCTTGCCTGAGCAACTGCAATGCCATCCAATTGGTACCTCTGTTTCCCTCTTTGTTCCCACATGATCTATTCTGTAGCCAGGAACAAGAATATTCTTCAAAAATGAAAATCAGATGTTGCTCCCCTGATTAAAACTCTCTGATGAGTTTCCACCACATGTGGAATGAAATCCAAACTCCTCTCATTTACTAACAATGCTCTAAGTGATCTGCCTTTATCTCCTTTTCAGCCTCATCTCTTACCACTCTCCCCTTACCTACTCTACTCCAGTCACAATGCCTGCCCTGTGTTTGTCAAACTCATAAGCAAGTTTCTGCTTCAGAGCCTTTGTACTTGCAGTCCCTCAGGCTAGAACGTTCTTTTCCCCATCTTTACATGCCCCTGCCTCATTTCTTTGCAAACTTTACTCAAATGTTACTTATAGAGACCTTCACAGTCCACCACATCTAAAAAACAACCTGTCCTCACTTCTGACCCTTACTGTCCCTTTATCCTATTTTTCTTCGTAGCACTTAATAATACACAAATAAACATATATTGTCCATATATGTTTATTTATTTTCCCAGTTATACATAAATAAAGACATTTATTTATTTGTCATGCCTACTAGAATGTCAGCTCCTTGGGGACGGCAACTGTATTCCATTCTGTTCTCTGCAGTATCCACTGCACCTAGGCAGTGTCTGAAACACAGGAGGCACTCAATAAATATATCTTGAATGAATAAAGAAACAAATAGTGCTCAGCACAGCTCCTGGACAGAATAAACAACTGTAAGTTTGTAATGTCAATTTTCGAAGGTAAAAAAATGTTTAATAGAAAGGCCAAAATTCTTTAGTGATACTATATATGATGTCAAAAATGAAAACATCACGTTTTAACTTAATTTCAATATAAATACACATTATATTATACTCACTTGGAGTTTCTTCTAGAATTTCCTGGAACTTGGTTCTCTCATATTCCACCAACTGGCGTTGAAGGTGTGGTCTGAGACTCATAATTGTAAAATTGGCCATGTCCATTTTCATGAGGTCCAGGACATGGAATATTTGTCTAAAAATTTTAGAATTAAAATGGAGAGATGATTAAGAAGTGAAGCTGAAATTCACTAACAATGATCTATGTTCCAGGCCAAAAACAATAAACATCCCCAAAATGGTTTTAAAGTTTCAATTGCCATTTGGTAGGGTCATGTTTCATAAAAGGTCATATGTGTGTACTGCACATGTGTTCTTCCACAGATCTCAAGAGTAATTATTTGAAGCATAAACAATCTTAATGATGTAAGAAAAATTCAAGAAGGAATTTTCATTTGAAAACCCCTGAAATTTTAAAGAGCCTGGACACGGGGCATATGGCTTCTATTCCTTAGGGAATAAGAAAAATTAAAAAAAGAAAGGACAAGGCAGTGAGGCACTGAGGAAAAATACTTCCTTTTAGAGTTAGGCAGCCCTGTGCTCAAACCCAGCTTTGCAACTGGCCAGATTTGTGGGCATATACACAAGTAAATCAGTCTCTCTGAGCCTCAGTTTCCTCATCTGTGAAAAGAGGACAACCTCAACCTTGGAGGGATGTTGTGAACAGTCAATGAGATAATGATCGTAAAGTACAGGGGGCAGTGGCAGCCAGTAGGCGCTCAACAAATGACCAAGATGAACATCACAGATTTGAGATCGTACTAGGCTAATAAGACAACTAGAAGCAAGGATCCCATAACTGAGGAATTACAATCTGCCAGAGCCAAGCACGACTCTAAGGATACCTAACAACCGTTTGACACAGACTGTCACTTTGAGAGTCAATCAACCTGCCCAAGATCGCAAAGTAAATTACCTACTACACGCAGACTGGTCTTTCTCCTACCTTTCCAAAAACCTTTACATCAAACTCAATTCTCAATGTGGCCACCACACACAAAAAAGAAGAAAAGTCTGCTTCAATGGCAGAAGTGTTGCAGACTCTTCTTTCCTCTTGGATCACAAGGAAGTTGTCATCTACGTGGCCAGATGAGATCCTTGTGACATAATATGTACCCCACTTCCTCAGAGAAGCTCCAGCAGATGTGGCTGGCTGACCACTAAAGGCCCGTGCTCCCTCCCCGCAGTGCAGGTTTGTGGCTGTGGAAAGTCTTTCCAGGCTGTAACTACCTTTCTCAACTCCCCTTTCAATCTAGGTGGGATCATGTGACTAGTCATGGTCAAAGGGATGTATCACTTCGGGGCTGAGGTGGCTATATATTACATATGTCTCCCCCATGGTCTCTTTCCCACTTGCCAGCTGAAAGGAGAGGACTCTAAGGACCTGAGCAAGGGTAGAGCCAAGCAAAGAAGGAGGTTGGGTCCTTGGATGAGATGTGGAGAGTTGTCTGATCAAGGACCCCTGAATTGGACTGTGACATCAGTGAGAAACAAACTTTTATTGGATAAACCACTGAGAATTTACATGTTATAGCAGCTAGTGACCGTAACCAATAAAGAAGCCTCGACCAGATTAGGTCCCTTGTCGGAGACTATGTTAAGACCCTCTACTTCCCCTTCCACTTATCACAACTGTAATTAATTGTTCAAGGTCTCTCTCCCCATTAGACTCCCGGAGTCAGGGATTATATCTGTCTTTTTCATCACTGCATCTCCAGGGCCCACTACATGCCAACTAACAACCTTGTCAGATCATTCTATGTGAAAACTCTCTGCATACAGTAAATGATTGACATGGTCTCTGCTTATATGGTTTTCTTCTAAGGTCAGTAATTTATTTGGAGTACTAGTTGTTATTTTGCGTTCACCGACGCCCAACTTCCCTTCTGAATGAACTCAAAGATACTCTAGGAAATGCAAACAGCAAAAGTGCTAACCTCAGCACCTCCACGATGTTGCCAGTAGCCTTTAACTCTCTGATATCGTTATCTCGCACGGGAGCACACAGCTTTCCCATCGTACTGATGACATAGTTGGCCAGGCCTTGGATGTCAACAGCACTGTGCTCTGCCTGCTGCCTAATGAGGTCTGTGTCCAAAACTTCACAGATCTGGTTGCGAAGCCGGTTACCACCAGGAGTCAGAAAAGAGAGAAGAATCTACAGGGAAACAAATAAAAATTAACAGCATCATGATGTGAATAAAAGCTGTCACTTTTCACCTCAGTGTCTAGATGACCAAGCCCTTTGCCCACATTTTAGTGCCTTACATGCCACAGAAGTTGACACTGACTGCATGGTGGATCAGAGGAGCATTCCAGTGTCTCAACTCTAAAAAGAAAGGTCTATCTTCTGAATTAAAGTGCCCCCACCATGGGAAATTCCTGCTCCTGTAAGAATAAAAACAACTAGCAAGGAAGCAAGATTACTGAAAGCACAGTAAGTCCTTACTTAACATTGCTGACAGGTTCCTGGAAATTGCAACTTTAAGTGAAATGATATATAATGAAACCAGTTTTATCATAGGCTAATTGATATAAACAACGGTTAAGTTTCTATGGCATATTTCTGGTCACAAAAAAAATCACCAAACTTCTAAATAAAGACCCCAAACACTTCTAATATTAAACACTGAGATAAATGTGAGCTACACATACAAGAAAAATTAATAAAAACAAGAGAATGATTTACCCAATTTTTGGTGAATCAATGAGTGACAGCTGCCATGGTGGTACGTTAAATTGGGGAAGAAATGTTTGCAAACAAAAACTGTTAAGAACACCACCTACCACCACAGAGTTCAAAAATAAATAGTAATTATGACAGGCTCACTGAGCACTTTCATAGCACATTGTTTATTGTTGTGCATCTGTATGATTATCGAATACTTTATGAATTTTTATGTTACAATAACTTGTATTCATTCATTTTCCAACCTGCTTACTCCAGTTCAGGGATGCAATTGGCCAGAGCCTACCATGGCAGCTCAGAGCATAAGGCAGGAACCAGCCTGGGACAGGATGCCATCACACTGCAGGATGCACTCACTCACACACCCACACTCACTCAGACTGAGACCATTTAGACTTGTCAATGAACTTAACATGCATATCTTTGGGATGAGGGAGGAAACCAGAGTACCCAAATAAAAGCTACGTAGACATGGGGAGATCATACAACCTCCACACGGACGGCAGCCCCAGCTAGGAATCTATCTTTTTACTTTTTCTTTCTTTTTTTTTGAGATGGAGTCTCGCTCTGTCATCAGGCTGGAGTGCAGTGGCACAATCTCGGCTCACTGCAATCTCCGACTCCCAGATTCAAGCAATTCTCCTGCCTCAGCCTCCGGAGTAGCTGGGATTACAAGTGTGCACCACCACACCCAGCTAATTTTTGTATTTTTAGTTACAGATGGGGTCAACATGTTGGCCAGGATGGTCTCGATCCCCTGACCTTGTGATCCACCCACCTGGGCCTCCAAAAGTGCTGGGATTACAGGCGTGAGCCACCGCCTGGCTGGAATCTATCTTTTTGCTTATCAACATTGTAAAGAAAAAACATTGAACAAATCAATAGGATGCGAGGATCTGCTGCATTTCAAAACGTCTACAGGTAAAAGTTCAGGGAAAAAAGAACAAGTTGCAGACCATAGCTCTAAAAGAACTCTTTAAAAAAGGATAGATGAAAATATCCCATAGGGTCCATTAAGTATATTTTACACATAGAATATTTATTATATATGAGCAGCCTATTTATTGATTATTCAGTTAACAGAGGACACTGTGCTTATCCACACAGCACATGCTTAGGAGCCTGCGCTCTGAGCCAGTGTGGCTCAGTTCAAGTCCCTCTCTATCCCTCAAAGCTGTGTGACCCTGCATGAGTCAGAAAACTTGTTTTTTTAAATAAATAAGAATAACAGGAGCAACTACTGCACAGCATTCTGATAAGAAATGAACAATGTAGTACAAGTGCCTTGTAAATGTTGGCTAGCATTACAACTGTCACCTCATTTAGTTCTTATGACTACCCTAGAAGTACTCAGGAGAGACTTAAAGAGAGAACCTATCACTAAACCAGGACAACAATCTAACTCTAGAGTCTCTACCCTTTAGCATCACCCTAAGCTGTGTCCACAGCACTATTTTCCCAGCCTTCACTCTACTCCAGGAGACGCGGGGGGGAAGCCTTGTCAGTGAACTCGATCCTTTTTTGAAAAAGAGTGGCCAGTACTAAAGGATATACAACAATCTTTGGGGGAAAAAAAACTGCTATACTTTCAATATTTGTGTTTTCCTCTGTCCCCAAATTCGTATGTTGAAACCCAATCCCAAATGGAATGCTATTAGAAGGTGGGGCCTTTGGGAGGTGATTAAGTCATAAGGGTAAGGTCCATATGAATGGAACTGTACCCTTATAAAAGAGACCCTAGGCTGGGCGTGGTGGCTCACGCCTGTAATGCCAGCACTTTGGGAGGCCAAGGCGGGCAAATCATGAGGTCAGGAGATCAAGACCATCCTGGTTAACACAGTGAAACCCCGTCTCTACTGAAAATATAAAAAAATTAGCCAGGTGTGGTGGCACACACCTATAGTCCCAGATACTCGGGAGGCTGAGGCAGGAGAATCACTTGAACCTGGGAGGCAGAGGTTGCAGTGAGCCGAGATTGTGCCACCGCACCCCAGCCTGGGCAACAGAGTGAGACTCCGTCTCTAAACAAAACAACAACAAAAAGACCCTAAAGAGCTTCTCTGCACTTTCTGCCATGTGAGGACACAGCAAGAAGGCACCATCTATGAATCAGGGAGTGAGCCCTCACCAGATGCCAAATCTGCTGGTGCTTTGATCTTGGACTTCCCAGCCTCCAGTACTGTGAGAAGTAAATTTCTACTGTTTACAAGCCACCCAGGCTATGCCAGTCTGTTATGGCAGCCCACCCAGAGCAAGACGCTAACTGACACAGACAACACAGCAACTTGCCTCTCTGATTTCTTCAAACAGTTTGATGGCATGTTCAAACTCAGGAGGGTCAGCATTTAGTTCTGAATCCAAGACGTCCCAGAAGGCCTGGTGAACAATGTGCTTCACTTGACCAGCCAAACTATGGCAATAAAATGAATTGTTTTTTAAAATAAGCATCATTTTTTCCTGATTATAAAAGAAATATCCTCATTGTAGAAATCTTATAAAATGTAAAAACAAAACAAAACAAAACAGAATTGTCCTTAATCCCATTATTAATCTTTTAATATTTTTCTTGTTGAATGCATTATTTTAACATAGCTAAGCGCATATATGCAAAATATATACTTTTCATTTAACATTCTGTCCTGTTTCCCCTAGACCTTGAAAATGCTTTCAATAACTTCATAACATTCTGTCCTAAAGAGATTTCATAATTTATGTAGCTACCCTTCTATTCAGATCTTTAGACTTGTTCTACATTTTTGGGATGAGATAGCAAAGTTGCTCTTCCTCACCAGCTGAAATTTCATGGCATGGAATAGAACAGATTGGCCCCAAGGGCACATGCATTTGAATGCCTGCCAACTTCAGCTTAGGTGTCCCATTTAAAGTTAGCCAGACCAAACTGCCGAAATAGAAGCCTTCTGAGGAAGAGCTCACAATAGAATAAGTGGCCACCTTGCTTCACCCCTTATGTCAATCCCTTAAAATAGGTGCACATTAAAATACACATTCCTACCTCACTCCTATACCATTTAGCAACAGCTTTTAGAAAACCACATCCCTCCACTGTAATTACTGACGAGGCTGTTTTCCTACAGAGCTATATACCTTTCCCAAGCAGAGGCCATAAGACCTTCATGTAGGTACTTACCATTGTGCCTAGCACAGTGCCTGATATATAATGAGTGCTTGACAAATGCATGGTGAATGAATTCATAATTTGATAATTATATCTCTTTTTTTTTTTTTTTTTGAGATGGAGTCTCACTCTGTCACCCAGGCTGGAGTGCAGTGGCGCAATCTCAGCTTACTGCGGCCTCTGCCTCCCAGGTCCAACTGATTCTCATGCCTTAGCCTCCCAAGTAGCTGGGATTACAGGTGTGCACCACCACACCCAGCTAATTCTTGTATTTTTAGTAGAGACAGGGTTTCACCACATTGGGCAGGCTGGTCTTGAACTCCTGATCTCAGGTGATCTGCCCGCCTCAGCCTCCCAAAGTGCTGGGATTACAGGTATGAGCCACCACGCCCACATAAAACTTTAATAAACAAAGGCAATGTGTCCTAACTCTGTACTTTGTTTCCCTTGCTCATATTTTCTAGCCATGGCAGAAACTGAAGGTAAGAGAGATTAATATTTTTCATAGTATCAAAGTATTTATGCACAAGGCACTTTTATGCTAGTGAGCATGCATTTGAAGTGAGTAGTGTAGCCCCCACCTTATTCTTGGGAAGCATGAGGTTCAGGTATGGTCTCAGCAAAGCCAGGATTCAAACCCCAGGGTCTGTCTGAGCCTAAAGTGCCTTCACTATGGCCTGTACTTGCCACTTTTGAATTTAAAGTACAGATATGCCCTGTCTTTTGCTTTACTTCATACAAAATACAAATTTTAACTTTAAAATGAGACTCCACCTCAAAAAAACATTCATTTGTATTAGTCAATAAATGTTTATTGAACATCTAATATCTGGGAAAAGAACATTCAAAAAGGAGAAGTCAGAGGAACAAAGTTTCTGAGACAAGATCCAGAGGTTGGTGAACCCTGAGGTCAGAAAGGAAGCCAGCGTGGCTGAAGCACAGCAAGCAGGAAAGATAGCACTGAGACAGGGTCAGGGGAGTAGGGCCATCCAGGCCATACGGAAACACTTAGATTTTTAGTCTCTGAGTAACTGAAAACCATTGAAGGGTTTCTGGCAAAGAAATAATCTAATATAGCTTATTCTTTAAAAAGATCATTAAGGCTACTGTGTGGATATGGAAGATGAACTGTGGGGGGCTAAGAATGGAGACAGGGCAACCTGTTAGGACTGAAAGGGTCCAGGCCAGAGATGATGGTGGCCTAGCCTAGGGTTGTAGCAGTAGAGCTGGTATCAAGGGTCATGGAGAAATGCCGTCACCAAAGGAAAACAAACAGATATGCCCACGATAGATGGCAAGCTTAAAAAATGTTCATATTATATGAACAACATCCCCAGGAGGACTATGATCTACTTTTTAAAGAAGAAAAATTATTACATTGACTTCCTTTACTTTTCCTGCTTTAAAACAAATGAAAAAGTTCTGAATGGGATCAAATATTCTCAGTTGTCTTAACTGATCGAATGCCTCAGGATTTATAATTGATACTGCGAGGCTGAAAATTCAATCCATGAACCAACTTTGCTTCTAAAGATGATTGATCTGTAAAAATAGTCTCAAGCCTCTTCTCCTCTTTGTCCCAGGAAACCTGTAAGCCACTGACTCCAAAAAGGCTGAAGTAGGATCCAAAGGGGTGGCTCCAACTAGAGGTCCGAGGGCGAGGTTAACCAGGAAGTACCTCTTGCAGCTGTGACTCCCATCTCCAGACATTTCTGGATTGCCTACTTTTAGCACTTTGACCGTTCAGGTGCATTTATTTATTCTTCAGAACCTGAATATCAGTTTTCAATAAATCAATCTGCAAATATTTCTTGAGCCTCTACTGTATGTCCGGCACTATGCTAGACAATAAGGATACAGCAACAAACAATACAGACATAGCTCCTCCATAAATGATGCATTTCAGTCAAGTGGGGAAGATGGACATCAAACAAAATTATAAGACCTCTTAACAAAAGGGAGGCAGCAAGGGCTACAGGTGTCTCTAGCAAAGGGATTAATTATAGTCTAGGGAGTTCAGGAATGTCAGAAAAAGTTTCCCTCAGGAAATGACATATAAACTAAGTTCTAAAGATTATGGGTAATATGTATCCTAGGGGAAATTTTTTTTTTTTTTTTTTTTTTTTGAGATGGAGTCTCACTCTGTCGCCCAGGCTGTGGTGCAGTGGTGTGATCTCGGCTCACTGAAACCTCCAACTCCTGGGTTCATGCAATTCTCCTGCCTCAGCCTCCCAAGTAGCTGGGATTACAGATGCCCCGCCACCATGCCCAGCTAATTTTTGTATTTTTAGTAGAGATGAGGTTTCACCATGTTGGCCAGGCTGGTCAAAAACAGGAATTTTTTTTTTTTTTTTTTTTTTTTTTGAGACAGGGTCTTGCTGTGTCACCCAGGCTGAGTGTAGCGGCATAATGAGAGCTTACTGCAGTCCCTAAACTCCTGGGCTCAAATGATCTTCTTGACTTATTCTCTTGGGTAGCTGTAATTACAGGCTCAAGCCACCATGCCGGATAATATTATTATTTTTACTTTTTGTAGAGATGGGGTCTTGCTTTGGTGCCCAGGCCAGTCTCAAACTCCTGGCTTCAAGGAATCCTCCCGCCTCCACCTCCCACAGTGCTGGGTTTACAGGTGTGAGCTACCACACCCAGCCAGAATTTTTTAAAAACAAGTATAAGAACCTTGTTAGAGAACTAAATGTTTACCCCGAGGATATTATACAAGAACTTCCAGGAATCAGTGTATGTCTCTCTCTCTCTCTCTCACACACACACACACACACACACACACACACACACACACACAATCTTCAGCACAGTTTATGTATAACAAATGTCCCCAGGTTACCTGTTTTCTGGGAGGGCCTCTTGTTTCAATTGAAAATTCTCATTTACAGCAATCTCATGAGCAAGAGTCAAGTTTGATAAGTTCCTTGTTGCAGCCATCACTTCGTCAAATGTTACAACTCTTGGAGGGCTTGTTGCTGAAAGGAAAAAAAAAGCCAGTTAATGTTGTGGAAGAAAAGTTGTCATCCAACGAAGCCTCCTGATGCAGATAAGGTTTAATTTATGAGAACGTATAGACTTCAGAGTTTTATAAGTAAGGAGACTATATATTAAAATAGGTGAATTCCCTCACTTAATAAAGGCTTCAAAAATTTAAGAACTCCTTCAATAGCTTCAGTTACCATATTTGATAACATTGTCTCAAATATTTCTGAGACCATCTTATTAATATAGGCCCATTATAAGTTACTTTCAAAAATTAAATTACCAGGCCGGGCGCAGTGGCTCATGCCTGTAATCCCAGCACTTTGGGAGGCTATGGCTGGCGGATCGTGAGGTCAGGAGATCGAGACCATCCTGGCTAACATGGTAAAACCCCATCTCCACTAAAAATAGAAAAAAATTAGCTGGGCGTGGTGGTGGGTGCCTGTAGTTCCAGCTACTCGGGAGGCTGAGGCAGGAGAATGGCGTGAACCCAGGAGGCGGAGCTTGCAGTAAGCCGAGACTGCGCCACTGCACCCCAGCCTGGGCGACAGAGTGAGACTCTGTCTCAAAAAAAATTACCTCATTTTTAGTGCCCATTGAAACCTGCACTTACATGTATTATATAGGAAATTGATAAAATTATTTTTATTCTATAATTCAGAAGTCTCATTAAGTAGACTCAGTATGAAATAACTGATTTTTAGAACTATAATATTTATTTATTTATTTATTTGAGATGCAGTCTCACTTTGTTGCCAGGCTGGAGTGCAGTGATGCAATCTCAGCTCACTGCAACCTCCACCTCCTGGGGTCAAGCGATTCTCCTGCCTCAGCCTCTCAAGTAGCTGGATTACAGGCACGTGTCACCATGCCTGGCTAATTTTTGTATTTTTATTAGAGATGGTGTTTTGCCATGTTGGCCAGGCTGGTCTCGAACTCCTGACCTCAGATGATTCGCCTGCCTTGGCCAAAGTGCTGGAATTACAGGTGTGAGCCACCGCGCCTGGCCAAAAACTGTAATTTTTAAATGTATAGGCGGTATAGTATAAATGCTCAGGTTCACTCCAAGTTTTGCCAATTGGTATTTATCACTGGATTTCACTGAGGCATAGCCTTCCTCCTCACAGGGTTGGCCTGAGGTGACTGAATGAGATAATTTAAGAAAATAGTAAGAACTCAATAAATTTACATAATTAAAAGTAAAATAGAATAAATCTGAGAAGCCGGATATTGTACTTCTCAGTAGGAAGTAGTAAATGAAGAATTTGAGTTATTTCTAAAGATTATACTAAGAAACTATTCTAATAAATTATGTCTTTTTAAAATCACTGTTGGAAATCTTAGCTTCTTTTAATTAAAATCATAATGTCAAACAACAGCAGTGACAGGAAATATTTTACTACCTATTATTTTTTCTCAAGATGGAGTCTTGCTGTGTCACCCAGGCTGGAGTGCAATGGTGCAATCTTAACTCACTGCAATCTCTACCTCCCAGGTTCAAGTGATTCTTCTGCCTCAGCCTCCCGAGTAGCTGGGACTAGAGGTGCATGCCACCATGCTCAGCTTATTTTTGTATTTTTAGTAGAGATGGGGTTTTATTTACCATGTTGGCCAGGTGGTCTTGAACTCCTGACCTCAGGTGATTTGCCTGCCTCAGCCACTCAAAGTGCTGGGATTACAGGTGTGAGTCACTGCGCCTGGCTACCTAATTTTTAGGAAATGAGGAGGAGGATCAGGGAAAGAGGAGGAAGAAAAGAAAGGTGATGCACAGAATTGGTAAAACCCTTCTTCAGGATGTCTAGGTACCCCGGTGTCAGATGTGCCAACCCCACATACAGTACAAAGAGTGAGAAAACGCACAGAAACCTGGGGTGGCTGCTGTTAATTTCTTTTGCCAGGTCTGACGCAAGATTCTCCTTAAAAATGTCTATATACTTTGGTCCAATAATCCAGTGATATCCAAAAGACTTTCCAGAAAGGCTTCATGAACTAAGATGTTCATAAAGCACTATTTGTAACAGCAAAAAAAAAAGGAAACTAACTAAATGTCCAATGATGAATCAATGGTTAAGTTTACCGTATATTCACTTGAGGAAGTAATAGGTATTCGTAAAACCAATGTTTCAAAAACATGTAATCATGAGTAAACGTTTTGGTTATAATACTAAGCAAGAAGAGTCCACACATATATACACACATATGTCTATGTGAAGGATAAAGATACGGCAAAGCACTGCCCGCTGTCGTCTTTGGGTGATATCATAGGCAATGTTTTCTTTTCTCTATTCTTACGTATTTTCTAAGTTTTAAAAAATAAAAATGTAAAAATTTAAAATACAAATGAGGCAATTTGTAAGAAGTGGACAGTTCAGCATATTAAACATTAGTTGCTTTTTCCTGCATTTGCTTTGCCAGTTAAAGGTGTTATACTTACTAAATGAAGCGCCAATTAAAAAAAAAGCCAAACACATCTGCTTTACACGTCTCTAGTTTCTACACCCAAAAACGGAAAAAAGATATCTCCTTTTGCTGTGACCTCTCTTTTAACTCTTTCTCACACCCCTAATGTAGTAATTCTCCTCGTGGGTACCTTCCTGGGGTGATTTGCACAATATTTTTTGAAATCAACATGAAACCCTTTAGATTATTTCACTTCCTTCCTGACCTTTCAATGAAGACCAGTTTCCTTCAGTGTAAATCAGGAATACTCAGAAAAGACCAATTTGAATTTATCCTTGAGCGGGGATCTAAGAAGTAATCTCAAGGAATAGATTTCTGCCATTTGGGGAAAAGACAGACGAGGTTGAAGTCCTGCTTTATCGTCAGACCGAAGCAGATCGGAGGCAGTGATCAAAATAAAAATCAGCAGGTTGTAAACTTTAGTGGCTATTGATTTCTGAGAATGTGTCCAGGAAAGCTGCAGTGCCTCTGCAGCGCTATTCTGGGGCATCTAGAAAGGAGGGGAAATCTGTTGCTCTCAGGCATTTCTGAGTTTTCAAATCCAACACATATCTAGAAGTAGCCCCGCCACCCTCAACCCCTGCTCCCCCATTGACTCACAAGCAGGAGAGCTGGATTTGCTGGAGGAGTCACTTGTAAAGCTCTGCCTGGAGCAATCATAGTCACTGAGCGAAGCCATGCTTTCGGAAAACCGGGAAGAATCAGAGTCGCTTGGCTGGTCCTCTCCCACACACTGCTTCTCGCCATTGAAGGGCATTTTGGGTCACTTAAGTGTGGGTAAAAAGGTAGCACCTGCACAGACAGACCCTGCATCAATGTTCTAGTTTGCTTTCTCTCTTTGCCAACATTTGATGTCCCACTGATGGCATTTCTTGCAAATGCTACCTTCTCCAGGAAGCCTTGCTTTTAGCCAAAGTGAATAGCACTCCTCTTGGGATGTCTGCAGCACATCTCCTGCATCTCCGGGTGAGTACTTAGTTCCTTGTATATTAGTCCCTTGTTATTTTCTTCCCATGGCTACTTCTGAATCTCCTTAATAAAGCAGAGATTATGTCTTGTCCACGACCAGTGCCAAGTATATGACAAGTATTCATTCAGTGTCAGCTAAATCAGAATCCCCGAATCTCATTTGATAAGCTTCAACCAGAACATTTGCAAGCTGATATCACGACACGTTAACCAGCCTGGTACTGCCAAAGCCCAAGTCCTAGAGCAGAGAATTTACTGCTTAAGCCTATCTTGTTAGATTTAAGCGTCAAAATTCCCAGTTCCCTGTCATGCTCTTATTTGAATATCTTAAAGTTTGTTTCCACTTTAAGTCATCTTTTTTTTCCCCAGTTATTCCCCTGTAATATAACAACTGTGCTATGCATGCTCTGCTCTTAATTTTTCTCTACTACAGTTGCCTCAAATGAGCTCTGGCTGCTTTTCCAAGTGAAAGTGAGTAAGAGCTTCCAGCCATGAGAATTTATGAACTAGCTTAATAGTTTTAACTGTCCATTTCATTTTTCTACTTTAGCTGGATAGCACATTTGGTTTCTTAATTGTATTTAACAAGGCAGAAAAGTGCAAAGATTAAAATAATTGGGAGTCAGGAGTCCAGGGTTTGTGACCTGAGTTCATCATTAATGTGCCGTGTGACTTTATGCACATTTTTCTGAGAGGTTGGGCCAGTTATAAGGTTTCCCTCAGCTAGGAATATAAGATGATCCAAACCCAGAGTTCCATGAGGCATCACTAGAAGTTCTGAGAAATTAAATGTGCTTATGCCAGGCATGCTTAATAATGTGTAACTATACTTGTAACTATACTTTCTTCCAGCAATTCACTGGAGGTGGAGTTCCTGACACTGGGGCTGCAATGGAAAATTTAAAGGCTTCAAAATGTTTAGAAACTCTTGTTTAGTGGGTATAGGCCTCCACATTACAACTGGGCCTTAGGGTATCCAAGCAGAAGCCTGTATTTGAAGCCAAAATGTCCATTATTACTCTATTAAAAAATTGTCTGTTTCCTCATACAGGCTTACTAAGAATACCTAATTCATAGGGTTGGTGTGAGATTTCAGGTACTCAATACATGCAGAGTGTTTGGAACAGTCACTGACACAGTAAACAGTATACAAATGTTTTCTATTATTTGCTTTTTCTTGTTAATATCATTGCCTCAGGACTTAAACATTCTGGAGGGAAGAACAGTTTTAGGTCAGGATAACACCATGTTCTTCAACAGACAAACAAGGCTGGTAGTTCACATGGAACAGAACTCTTGGCACTTGTTTGACAGACAAAAGCCAAGAGTGAATGGCCCATCACTGTGTGAATGTTCTTCCGCGAGTTCCTTCATACCTGCTCTTACCTTTCTCGATCTTGAGTTTCCAAGTAAGTCACCTGGGGACAAAGCTACTCGATTCAAAAGGCACTGAGGATATTTAGACTGCTTTAAAAACTAATTTGGATTCTCCCTTAGACTGATGATCATGAAACCAGGCTGTTTCTTTAAGAAAGGTAATACTCCTTATGCAAACTTAGATCTACCTAACTTTTGACACTGCAACTCACAAGTAAATCAAACAACTTTTCAGAAACATCACATCTCATCATACCTGGAGAATTTAATCACTGGTCAAAGGTAAAGTCAACAGAAAAGACTGAAGATGACTCCAAGCAAAGCCTCCAACACGATAGCAGGTCACTATTCAAAGAAAATGAAGTACTGTCATATTCGCATTTTTTGTTGTATTATTCTATTACTTTGTGATAATAAATACAATATTATGTCATTTCTTCTGAAACCAATCACTGGAATGCAGCAAGCATTCAAATATTTATTGTTGAATAAATGAATGGTAGTAAGACTACTGACATTCAAGAGGTGTGAATGGGTACAAGGACTTGAAGGGGCTAGTGCTGTATTTCACTATAGATAGAGAGGAGATTGGTTTTTAATTTGCTTGTGATTCCTCAGCTTGTGTCCAGCTTTACTTCCTTATTTCCTTTCTGCAGCAACTCTATCTGCAAATAGTTCTGCACTGGTTCAAGATTGCAAAGATACACTGATGATAATACACGTCACTGAAGTCGTTAAGAACATTGCCTCCGGAGCTAGGTGGACTGGGTTCTCAATCCTGGCTCCTCTTGATTATTTACTGACTAGAAACAGAGAACTTACCATTTGTAAAATGGGGACAATAATAGTATCCACCTTGTAGAAGTGTTGTGAAGATTAACTGAAATAGTATCTGTCAAGTTCTTAAGCTCCCAGTAAGTGCCTGATGGATGTCAACTATTATTTTATTCTTACAAAAGAAGTTACAAGTTCCAAAAATGTAATGTCATAAAAAACAAAGAAAGGTTGAGAATATGTTCCAGATGAAAAAAAAGAAGAAAAAAAAAAAAAACACTTGATAACTGAGTGCAATAGGTGATCCCAGAGTGGATCCAGTACTGAAGCAAAAATGCTGTAAAGGACAGTATCAGTCAATCAATAACACTGTTAACAATATTTGAATCTATTGTCTATTGTCCAATGTTAAATATACTGAAGTTGAAATGTACTGTGCTTTTCTATTTAGGAATAAAGGGCCACGACATAATACAACTTTTTCTCAAATGATTCAAATGAAAGAGAAAGAGAAAAAATAATAAAGCACATAGGGCAAAATGTTAATAGGTGCATCTGAGTAAAAGGCACACAGCACGGTATTCCTTGTATTATTCTCGCAACTTTATCTGTAAGTTTGAAAGTATTTCCACATGAAAGGTTAAAAGAGAAGATGATGGGCTGAACTGAAACTTCAAGATTCAAATTCAGAACAGTCCAACCTCTTGCAGTTTGGAAATTTTGATTGTGCCCACCGCTGTGATAGCTTAAATACCACTCTATTACAAGAACTCTTCTAGACAGTCAAACTTGTCCCGATGTCCTTCTTGAACAGTGCCTAAAGAATAAAACAGGAAATAGGCCAGAGTCCTCCAGAAGAGGCAAAACAGATAATCCTTTTTAAGAGTTCATCCCTAGGTGGGTTCCCTTTTCCTAAGTCTCTGGGCCATGGTTTACGACCCTCTGTGATCTTAACTCTGCCCATCTCATTCTGCAGTGCTCTCCCACTAACCCCTCATGATCTTCTTTGGGTTCCTCAGACATGCCAAACTTCCTATTTCAGGGCACTCACACCTGCTATTCTCTCCCCCTGAAATGTTCCTCTCCCTGATCTCCTTGTGGTTGGCTCCCTGTTGTCATTCAGATTTGAAATTTAATGTCACCAACTTCGAAGTAACCTTCCCTGATAGCTACACTCACTGCATCTAAATGAGCCAGCTAGAGCTTAGAACACTGCCTGGGCTAGAGCAGGAGCTCAATGAATATAGTTGCATGAACTAATTACGCCACACTCCTATTCATAAGACACTTTGAGTTTTCCTTCTTTTCTGCCTCACTCACATTACTCATATTCCCATTATGCAGTCACTTACAGTACTACACTTGTGTGCATATCTGTCTCCCACTAGATTTTAAGCTGCTGGTGGAAGCTGTGACTCTCCTCTCCAATTCCCAGTGCCTACTTCAATGCATTTGCAAGGCACCAAAAATTCAAACTAGCAAAGACCCACAGTTCCAGGAGCTTAAAGAAACTCACGTGTAGCAAATAATAACAATTACAGCTAACAGTCACTGAGTGCTTATTACTACCTCAATAATAAGCCATCAATAACTGCTCTATGATAAGTTCTTTATATATTTTATCTCCTTGAATCCTCATTATAACACTGTTCGCTAAGGTATCATTCCAATTTTATCATAAGATCCTGAGGCCCAGAGAGGTTGCATTACTTGCCCAGTGGTTCACGGCAGCGTAGAGGCACAACTCAAATCCAGGAAGCAGATCCCTGAAACCCATGCTCTCTACCACTCCAGGATGGCTGGAGAAAATTTGGTGTGCTGCTCATTCTTTCCACTTCCACTGCCAAATCGATCTACCCATCACCATGTGGACCCTTGCACACGTGGTAGCAAGCTGATCTTATCCTGGTATGGCTGCTCAAGTGCCATTCTGTGAAGGGCATGACTGAAGGAGTTCGTCACCCAAAACAATTCACCACCACCCCGCTACAGTGACAGAAAATCCTCTAGGAGGGAGCCATTCTTTATGCACCACAAAATCCCTAGTTAAACCCCACATGTTAGCAAAAAGGTTAACTGCTTACAGTCATAAACATTTTGGAGTGAAATATTCAGATTACCCAGCAGGGCCTTGAGGAATGGAACCCATTCAGTTAAGGTTAGCTCATGTAAAAAAGAAACTTCAAGAAACATCTAGTGGGTACCATCCTTTAAGACCAGATCAAGGTCAGATGCAAGGACAAGCCTTCGCATATGTGTAGTAAAGGGAAGGGAGTCAGAGGACTAAGTCTGGGCTCTGAAGAAAAAAGTTGCAGATGATATGAAAAATTTCCACCTTCTGCAAAATGCTGCTTTAGAATCAGTCTCAAATAGCAGTGCTAAAGTTATTCATCCACAGCAAAGCAAAAACCATAGAGCAGAATAAAGTTATTCATCCACAGCAAAGCAAAAATCATAGAGCAGAGGGATAGGGGCCTACACCATTCATCTAGACAATACTGGTCTTCATCAAGTTAGAACCAACAAAGAGCTAGATAAAAATCAACAAGCCAGTCACTGTCTACAAAGCAGATGTTCACGTTACACATGGCATTACAGCATCAGGGAGAAGGATTCCTAGGCACTTTTCATATTTGAAAGCACTCCTCCCACACTTGCTGGTCTGTTTTCTGTTAATACCTGTGCTTCCCCTTCTGGGGCCCTCAACCTCTCACAAAATGGCATTGAAGCTGCATCCACACATGACTGGGTGACTGGGTATCTTTGGTCCTGGGCCTCTTCAAATCAGGCAATTTCCACTGGCTGTCAGGGTGATGCATGAAATCCCTAGAGAAGAGAGGAAAAGGACCACAGAAGGGAGCCTCCTCAAGTGGGAACCACTGAGATAAACTCATTATCCGTTGGCAGGTAAGAAGAGCAAGGTCCCTGATTGGACTGGTGACCATGGGCGCTGAGACGCCCACTGGGGACAAGGACAACTTGTTCAGTTTCTTCACAGTTAAGGACAACCATCTAAGATTTTCCCAAACTGCCGTCATTTGAGTACCACTCTTTATGACTATTTCTACATCTCCCCCCTTACCTATGCTATAATTTACTAACCGTGTCTCTTCATCTTAGCTAGATTTTTGCATTTAAATGTATTTATTTTAAAAGGAAATTCTGTCATTGTGAAACTGCTTACTTAATGGAACAGATTTTCTTAATAGTAACGAAAACAAGTAACCATGTTCATCCATGTGCCACCTTAAATCATTGCTATTACCCCCACTGGTGCCACCTACAGTAGCAGCTTTGGGAAGCACAAGCAACCCCTGAGGGTTCAGCGTTCCAGCCCAGGCCCGATCGGCATTTCTCCACCTCTTCCCCTTAACCAAAGGTCCCGGCAAGGGGACGCAGCAGCAGTCTGCACGACCTCGCCCACGTCCTCTGGCCGCCCCTCCCCTCCAGCAGCACCACGTTTCCTGTCAAAACAAACCCTTGGGGGAGGGGACGGCGGAGGCAGAGCCGAGTGCCCGGGAAACCACGGCAACAAACTCCAAACACACGCGGCCAGGCCCGCCCGGCCTCTACCCTGGCTCAGTTCCCCACTCCAGCCCGGCCGAGGGGTGCGGGGGAAGGGGGTGCCCTGGGCCCCTGATGGCGGGATGCCGCTGGTACCTGTCCAGCAGGATTTAAACAGCGGCGAAGCGGCCTCCGGGGCCGGAAGTCTGTGTCCACCCCGACACGCGGGGCGGCCACTCGGTGCCCCGCTCCCCGCTCCCACGCGGGACGGCAGTTCGAGGTCAAACAAGGGGACGTGGAGTGGTGAGACAAGATGTAGGAGACGAGCTTGATGGCCCCTGCCCCGCCGTCCCAGCATGGAGTTCCGAGATAGGGCGGAGGAGCCTTCGGGCTGCAGCAGTGTCCCCTCCGTTGGCCCCGGCCGGTCACCTCTGAGCCGGCAACGCCTTCCCCGTGAAGGATACGCACCGGCTCCAGCACGTAGACAAGAGGAGAACGGCGACGGAGTGATCCCGCGTGAGGGCTCTCTGGGCGTCCCCTCACCGAGCACAGCACTATCACCTCGAAAACTCACCAGTCCAACAACCCCCCCAACCCCAGCGTCCCCCCCCCCCCCCCCGCAACGCGGTATTTAAAGGGCCCTGAGGGACTCTAGGGAGGCAGCCACAGCGCGGCCATCACAAAACCGGATAGCGGGGGGACGACGGCACGACGGGGAAAGGGGATCCAGGGCCCTTCAGGCTCCGATAGCCGAGCGCTCACAGACTGAACCTATTAGACAAACAGTCTTCGTCATGTTTAAACCAGAGAAGCCGAGGACAGCTCGGATGGGAGGGTGTTTCGGATGCGAGACGGCACGGTCTCCCCGCGCGGCAAGTGGTGCGGTCCGGGCTGCCGGGGGCGGGGAGAGAAGTGTTTACGGAACTGAGGCCGCCGAACCGACGGTAGCGCCGGGCGTTGGGGGCGGGGCTTGACGGGGCACTGGGGGCGGGGCCGAGCGGGGGTGCTGTGGTGGGGGGGCCGAGCAGGGGCTCTGGGGGCGGGGCGAAGCCGCCGGCCGAACCTCCAGCGGAGCGCGGAACGGATCACCTGGGCTTCCAGGCGCACCCGCGTGGACTGCACCGCGAGCTCCCAGCCGTGCGTGGAACATTGAGTGCCCGTACACCGCTGTCTAGACGGGGCGATCCAAACTGGGTGCCCACCACAACACTGTCCACACTTACAGAGACAACCCAACTAACAACGCTGCTGGTGAGCTTTCCCACGGATGTCAGCGACTAACCGCGTCATCTCCAGTTGCGTCTACACCTCCACATAAACACGGATTCAGATTTGCACCTGCACGGGACTGTTAGCTCCTTGGAGTCACGCCCATCCAGGCCCTCTGAAGACTTGGTGTGCGTGCAAAAGATAAAGCGTCTTACTTCCTCTGGGGATCTTGGCAGCACCTATCTCCCGGAGAAATTTCGACCTTGGTTAATGTAAATAACCAGTCCCAGGAGGGCTCTGTGCCGTCTGGCCTGCTGCTCCGCTCCTGCTGTGGGCGTGCTTGAGGGTGTAGAGAAACAAGCTTCCCCCAACTGCTCACATCAAAACCATGTCCTCTGCCAGGTGTAAATCGGTGCTGTATTACTTGGGAAATAGTTTCATGCAGAAACTACTTACATGAAGTTTGTATAGACTAAAGTATTTCTGTTTAGTGCCGAAATTATGTCTGGATTGTGGAGGCAAATTGGCCACCGCCGTTCAAAAACAACAACAGCAGCAGCAACAACAAACAACAGGCAACATTTTAAAGCAGGGTAGAAAGTCAGTTGTTTAGTGGTTACAACACAGACTACTCTATGGTTCCAATCCTGGCTCTGACATTCACTATGCATGAGATCGTGGTCTCTGGGGATAACAATGATAGCTATTTCATTGGGTTATTGTGAGGATAAAGTGAAATAAAGCTTGTGAAGTGCTTAGCTGGGTACACAATAAGCACTCAATAAGTATTAGTTATTGAAACTATTTGGCAAACCACTGTGGCCAGACTTAGCTGGTGATCTGTATAAATTTGTATCTGTGCCTCCTTTTGCCACTTTCCTCTCTTCTCCTAAAATATACAACCTAATAATACAGGTTCAGAGATTAAATAGAAGGTGCTGTCCCCACTGGAGTTCTTCCCTACAAACATGCCCTTCTTTATGTCATTTGTTGGATAAATAATCAGGATGACAGAAGCCTCCAATTTCAATTCTTGCCAAATGACAGCCACCACACAACTGCCATCACCACCTTAAAAACTCCACAATAGAAAGATGAACACCCAAATCCCCCAAACTTCTGGTAACTCTGTGACAATGACCCATGGTGACATTACTTCCTTTGTTAGCTTTGTAAGGATTTAAGTATTGTTTTGTGCTATGACTTAAGTTGGAGCAGGTGACCATGAGTCAGGGTAGTTGTCTCTAATACCTGAGTGACCAGCTGCCTGACCCTAGGCATGACACTTCTTTTAAAGTTCAGATACATAGCTCTCAAAGCCACCAGGAAGCAGCTTTTGTCAAAGCAAGTTTCAACATGTGCTGGTGTACAAGCCTTAATGTGGAAGTGGTGGGGGTAACATCAGAGACCCAAGCTGAGATAAGAAATGATGCTGGAAATACTATCTTCTGTTACTTTAATGTTAAATAACTTGCTATCTGAAAACCCTTTGGTGAATTACCTGACCAACTGCCCTTGGCCTGACTTGTGTATAAAAGCACTTTGGGCCAGGTACGGTGGCTCAGGCCTGTAATCCAAGCACTTTGGGAGGCCGAGGCGGGTGGATCACAAGGTCAGGAGATGAACCATCCTGGCTAACATGGTGAAACCCCATCTCTACTAAAAATACAAAAAATTAGCTGGGCGTGGTGGCACGCGCCTGTAATCCCAGCTACTGTGGAGGCTGAGGCAGGAGAATTGCTTGAACCTGGGAGGTAGAGGTTGCAGTGAGCCAAGATCACGCCACTGCACTCCAGCCTGGGCGACAGTGCAAAACTCCATTTCAAAACAAAAACAACACTTTGAAAAAATGGAGTGCTATAAAATATAAAGCAGTTCCCTCAAAAATGAGCCTTGTATCACATTGTTGCTCAGAGGGCTCAGACAGTCATAACATAAAATCTTCCCTGCTCAGGTTATGTTCATGACTTTCTGAGAAAAAACAAACAGACAAACAAACAAACAAACAAAAATCCCAAAGTCTGAAAAGGCAACCTCTTTGGTAAGTAAAACAATTAGCATTTTATTTGAAGAAGACATATTATTACACGTAGTTTTTCTAACTTACCTTTTTTGAACCACTTGGAGAACTGACAGTAATAAGAGTTTATTTTCTCCCTATAAATTACACGGTAGACCAAATGTGGTCTATCACTCTTGGCAAAAGACCAAGGGCAGATAAAATTTTTGTTCGATGAAGAAATAGAAATACTCATTTTCTTTTTACACATCTGAAATCTGAGTTTTAAATTATAATAAATCATGGACAAAAATCCAAAAATGTACTTACAGTTGGATTTGCAACCTCTCAGCCTTATAACTTTTCTAGTGGAGTTGCATCTTGTACTTTAATGTAATGCAAATTTAGCTATACGGGACTCATCTGGGACAGAATATGAGGAACACAAGAGAATAACTGAAATACTTCCAGTGATCTTGTCCCCTATTTCTCTCCATGGGAGTTTGAGGCTTCTCTTCCTGTGTTGCTCAGAGTTTCTGAGCTTCTCATTATGTTCCAAACTTCTTTCCCATGGCTGGTTTCATGGGCGTGCAGTCTGGGCAGTCGCACAAGGTCCCACCCTTGGAAGAGCCCTGTGCTTGGTTTAACACTTTGCTGGTGTTATGTTGAGATTCTTAATATTGTGCTTTTTGAAAGAGGGGCCTTGCATTTTCATTTTGCACTGGACCTGGCAAATTATGGAACTGGTCCTGATCTCCCCACACAGAATATGAGTCTAGTGGTTAAAGACACTTATTTTCCTGCCCCTAAGTGCCGATCAATTATTTCAACTAGTGCTCGGTCGAAGAAACTTATGTATGTTTCAATGCTGGAAGAAGAGAAATAGCCCCAAACAAAAAAAAAAACAACAAAAATTTGGTGTATCCCAGGTCTTATGGCTCATTTAAAAATTTTCAAGAGTAATTTTCACTGCACTTTGACCTCATGGTCTTCCTTAAGAGCCTAATCCCTCATGTAAGATGTGAGTCCATTGTAACTGAAAAAAACAAAACAAAACAAAAAAATGGGCCGAGCATGGTGGCTCATGCCTGTAATCTCAGCACTTTGGGAGGCTGAGGTGGGTGGATCACCTGAAGTCATGAGTTCGAGACCCGCCTGACCAACATGGTGAAACTCCATCTCTACTAAATAGAAAAAATTAGCCAGGCATGGTGGTGCATACCTGTAATCCCAACTACTTGGGAGGCTGAGGCAGGAGAATCACTAGAACCCGGGAGGCAGAAGTTGCGGTGAGCTGAGATTGTGCCATTGCACTCCAGCCTGGGCAACAAGAGTGAAACTCAGTCTCAAAAAAAAAAAATGGCCGGGCATGGTGGTTCACACCTGTAATCCCAGCAGTTTGGGAGGCCGAGGCAGGAGGATCACTTGAGGTCAGGAGTTTGAGACCAGCCTGACCAACATGGTGAAACCTCGTCTCTACTAAAAATACAAATAGTTGGGCATGGTGGCACACACCTGTAATCCCAGCTACTTGAGAGGCTGAGACAGGAGAATTGCTTGAACCTGGGAGGCGGAAGTTGCAGTGAGCTGAGATTGCACCATTGCACTCCAGCCTGGGCAACAGAGCGAGAGTTTGTCTCAAAAAAAAAAATAAAAACTAAAAATTAAATTAATTTTTTAAAAAAGGAATCCCACTTTTTTCTCTCGCCTGTCCATCTTCAGGTGCTACAGAAAGGGCCAAAAATCAGTGAGGGGGAAAATACAATAGAAAGCAAAAAGAAGAAAATGAATTTGGCTAATACACATACTAGAGAATTAGGCCCTGAATGTTCAAAAAGTAACTGCATACCTCCTACTCAGTTTTACTGTGAGCTCTAAAAATAAGGTCTATTAAAAAATTAACCACACCTTTCAGGCAAATTTTTTTGTTCTATATACTTTCATTTGGAAGATAAGGTAGATCTAGGCAATCGACCAGTTTTGACTATTAACTGATGCTTGAACAATTTTCCAAAGCACCAAAACCAGTTTTCTTTTGACTCCACTGAACTGAATTAGTAAAAGATTAGCAGTTATTTCTCATTTCAATTGCCTGTACCTTCACATTTAGGCACTGCCCAGTCCCTGACCCTGTCACACACTAAAAAGACAAATATTCTTAGTAATCCCTACACCCCTCCCTGGGCCCCTTCCTCTTACCTGGGCACCACTGTTGTCCCCTGGGAAGCAGAAACAGAATGAAAACAAGCAGTGAAGACAACTCTGGGGCAGGAAGTGGGAGGGGCCAAAGAGAGTTGAAGCTCAAAGGAGCACCTATGGGAGGCCAAACAGGTGATGGCTCAGACCTCTGACCAAGCCAGTCACTCTCTTTAGCCCACCTCCAGGCCAGCAGGCAATCAACCATTTTCTAAATGAG